GCCATCTCCAGGCACGCCACCCTCCAGGAGTCTCCAAGGGTGCAGCCATTTAGAAGTTCCCCAAACAGCGTACCTTTTGGGTTTTCATTGAAGCTTCCTTACATAAGCATGATTGATTAAATCATTGCCCATTGGCGATCAGCTTAACCTTCAGCCACTTTCCCCTCCCTGGAGGTTGGAGGGTGGGGCTAAAAGTCCCAACACTCTCATTCTGCCTTGGTCTTTCCAGTGACCAGTCCCCATCCGGATACTACCCAGGGGCTGCCGCCGCCAGTCAAGTCATTAGCCTACAACAAGATACTTTACACTTTGGAGATTCCAAGGATTTTAGGAATTGTAATCCCAGGAAATGGAGATGAAAACCAAATATATATTTCACAATATCACTCCTTTTAAAAGCACACAGGAGACATTTATTTCTGGTCTCAATTTGTTGCCGCCCAACCAGATTCATTTGCCCACTGCCCAAGAGGAAACCAATATGCCGAGAAAGCAGGGTTTACAGCAGAGAGTTTACTGCGTATAACAGGGAGATGGGAGAAATTTCTCAAACCCGCCTTCCCCGAGAATTTGTGAGACGGGGTTTTTAAAGACAGTTTGGCATAGGCAATTGAGTCTGCTAATTGGCTATGTTCAGGGCAGAACCATAGGGTTGTAGGAATTGTCTTCTTTGCTGACCAGGTTCTTGGGTAGGGGTCACAAGACCAGCTGAGTCACTGGTCTGGGTGGGTCAGCTATTCCACTGGAATGCGGGACCTGGAAGATACCTTGGAAACTACCACTAGGATTCAAAAAAGTGATATTATCCATGGAGAAAGCTAAGAATCTTTATGACCACCAGCTATGTGGCTCCAGGGTGGCAATTATAGAGAAGCAAACAGGGGGACAGTGGCTAATTATTATCATTATTTTTAGCTAGGCCCATGTCTTATTTTTAGCTAGGCCCTTCCCATAGTTCTTACCTTGCACCTCATTATTGATTTGTGTAAAGGGTGGTTCCAAATTCTAGGAAAAGTTGTCCTCCTGAGCAAATTGTTTGGTTTTTCATTTGCTTTGTTTTTATCCTATGGACATTGTGAATTGTGTATCATTTTATGATTTCATAACCTCAAAAATCAAAATTTTAACAGCTATACAATGACATTATTAACTTAAATAATAAGTGACTGAAAACAAGAGAGTCACACTCAGTCAAGGCTTTATTAAGCCAAGATTTTAAGGAGCACCCAGGAAAAACATAGCCAACAACGTATCTGTTGTGGACCGGGCTCTCCAAAGAAGAGGTTGAGAACTTCTCATTTAAAGGAAACAAGAGGTGCACAGGAGAAAGGGAGGGGTGAAGGAGGTGAGCAGTGTGACAATTGATGTTATTCTTGTGAAGTTCTATTTGGTGCTCAGTAAATCTACATAAGATAAATGAACTTTCAAAAAAAGGGGGATAGAGCCATAGTCAATGTTGTGAATCTTCTCAGGAAAGGTAGAAGAGTGACCCTATCTCTTCCTTGATTTGCATCCGTGGAGATAAACTTGTAATCAACATTTAAGAGTTTATTTGGGCTCCAGTCCTAAGGTTATAATTGACATGCACTCATTTTATAGGGGCTGTATATTTTGAAGAGGTTTTTTTAGGGCTGAAGGAAATAATAAATATTTTAACCTGACATACATTATTTGTCATGTTTTGAGATGGCTGTGGGCTCACAGGAGTACTGCTGCAAGGCTGTCCAGGTGGGGAGGCTGGGAGACAAATTGCATTTGTCGAGCATCTCTATTAAAAGCAGCCGTGCCCTGCCTATTTGATCTGGGACAGGTTTGCTGAGTGTCTGACACCCTTTTAGGGTCTGAGTAAAACATGTCTTTGAGGGCTGTTATTGAGACTTACCTGCATAACAAGACCACCTTGCCAGCCAGGTTTCCTTTCTCCCCCCCAAACCCAGTCCACCAAAAACAAAAAACCTCTGTTTAGTCATTTTCTAAGCCCCTTCATTTTTT